TCTGGGCAGCAGAGCGTGGCTCCGTGTCTGCAGGCCGTCCCTCCTGCGAGCTCCGCGCCGGTGCTCCCCAGGCTCTGCCGTGCGTGACCCTTTCTGCCCAGGGGCTCTGGATTGGCTCGGCAGCATCTGTGAGCGGGTGACGCCCCGGCTGTCCCACGCCAACTCTGCCGTGGTGCTCTCCGCAGTGAAAGTGCTGATGAAGTTCATGGAGATGCTGTCGAAGGACCTGGATTATTATGGCACCCTGCTGAAGAAGCTGGCTCCTCCTCTGGTCACGCTGCTCTCGGCCGAGCCGGAGCTGCAGTACGTGGCTCTGCGCAACATCAACCTCATTGTGCAGAAGAGGTGAGCCGCTGGCGGGCAGGCAGACGGAGCCGGCCCGGGTCTCGCGCCAGGAGCTCGGGCAGCGCGGTAAGACGCCGGCAGGAGCGGCCCAGACCGGCCAGGGAGACGCAGGGACTGCCAATGCCAGAAGCGGGCTGCAAGACGAAAGGTCTGCTCTGGCCAGCCCCATGCACCCCTCCAAGCTGGCTGTGTCCTTCGGGTATCCGCTGCTCCCCATTCCCTCTCCGGCGCAGGGGTGTTGGCTCTGGTGCCTGTTGGGCAGCCTCTGCTGATGCACTGCAGGGGCGGGGGCGACTGGCAGGGAGACGCAGGGACTGCCAATGCCAGAAGCGGGCTGCAAGACGAAAGGTCTGCTCTGGCCAGCCCCATGCACCCCTCCAAGCTGGCTGTGTCCTTCGGGTATCCGCTGCTCCCCATTCCCTCTCCGGCGCAGGGGTGTTGGCTCTGGTGCCTGTTGGGCAGCCTCTGCTGATGCACTGCAGGGGCGGGGGCGACTGGCGCTTCGCTGGGGCACGTGACAAAATGTGGTGGGTCCGAGCGGTGCTAACCCCCGTGTCCGCCTCCAGGCCGGAAATCCTCAAGCATGAGATGAAGGTGTTCTTCGTGAAGTACAACGACCCCATCTACGTTAAACTGGAGAAACTGGACATCATGATCCGCCTGGCCTCCCAGGCCAACATCGCGCAGGTCAGCCCCTCCCCAGGGGACCTCCGTGCCCGCGACCCCTTCTGCACCACCTCCCCGTGGCCTGGCTTTGTCAGCGTGCACGGATGCCAGGCGGGGCCCTGGCGAGCAGCTGCATGTGGCTGGCCCCAGCTGTGACGCCTGCCTCCGTGCTCTCGGCTCAGGAGTTGGGTGGCTGAAGGCGGTTGGTGCGTTGGCAGAGCCCGCAGGCCACGGCCCTGTCCGCGTTCGGTCAGCCGCAGCCTCTGACTGCTCAGGGCCCCGCTCCCGTGCCCCTTTTGGGGGTCCCAGCCCCCACTGCCAAGGGCAGGGCTCACCTCTCTGCCCCTCCGGCAGGTGCTCGCCGAGCTGAAGGAGTACGCCACCGAAGTGGACGTGGACTTTGTGAGGAAGGCCGTGCGAGCCATCGGCCGCTGTGCCATCAAGGTGGAGGTGAGCGGCAGGGGCTGGGGGGGGTGGCGGGGGCGGTGGAGTGCGCCGGAGCTGCCCTTGCAGGCGATCGACGCGCCCTCGTGCTGTGTCTAGCCCGGAGGCCACGTTCAGCAGTAGGTGCGACGTCTCGTGGGGTGGAATGGCTCAGCCCAGGCTGACTCCCTCTGCCCGCTCGGACTTGAGGCACCAGAGCTAGAAGGCTCGGACGCAGGGGCTGGGGGGGGTGGCGGGGGCGGTGGAGTGCGCCGGAGCTGCCCTTGCAGGCGATCGACGCGCCCTCGTGCTGTGTCTAGCCCGGAGGCCACGTTCAGCAGTAGGTGCGACGTCTCGTGGGGTGGAATGGCTCAGCCCAGGCTGACTCCCTCTGCCCGCTCGGACTTGAGGCACCAGAGCTAGAAGGCTCGGACCGTCTCGGTGCAGAGGCGCACGTGAGAGGGGCTGCGGTTGTTCCAGAGATCTCCATCAGCCCTGCCACAGAGGGGCCTGGAACTTGTGCCGTCCATCCTCTCGGGGCTCCGTGATCACGGCTTGTGCTCTGGCGCTGCCTTTCCCAGTGCAAGGGTGGCTGTTGCAGACGGGCAGGGAGAAGGGTGTTTCGTGAGCCGACGATGGGCAGTCGGTCGTATTGAAGGACTGAGGAGCCGGGGGCTGGGTCCTTGGGGGGCAATTGGCCCGGCCCCGTGGGGCTGGGTGCGCAGGTGCTAGCTAACCGGAGGCGGGGCTCGGGATAGCAGCCCGGCTGTGCTGGACAGGAGCTGGAGGGAAGGGCCGTCCTTCACTCCGAGGGATGTTCCCTGGGGATTGGTGAACCTCGTGACGTTTTAGCGCTTAGCCCCGGGGCAGGACCAGCAGCCGTTGTACCAGAGGCAGCAGCGCGGGATGCAGGTGGGAGCTGGTCTGCGGGTTTGAAAACCAGCCCCTCATGGACCGGCTCCCTGTCGCCCTGCGCCGCTGGTCCTGAGACACAGGCGGCAGCGCGGGGGGGGGCAGCAGCCCCTGTCTGGGGGTCTGAGCTCCTGGACCCGGTGTGAGCCAGGCCTGAGCCAGGCTGCCTGCCCAGCTCCTAACGCACTTTAAACACGGAGCCACGGGGGGCAGCTCCCGGACCGGTGTGAGCCAGGCCTGAGCCAGGCTGCCTGCCCAGCTCCTAACGCACTTTAAACACGGAGCCACGGGGGGCAGCTCCCGGACCGGTGTGAGCCAGGCCTGAGCCAGGCTGCCTGCCCAGCTCCTAACGCACTTTAAACACGGAGCCACGGGGGGCAGCTCCCGGACCGGTGTGAGCCAGGCCTGAGCCAGGCTGCCTGCCCAGCTCCTAACGCACTTTAAACACGGAGCCACGGGGGGCAGCTCCCGGACCGGTGTGAGCCAGGCCTGAGCCAGGCTGCCTGCCCAGCTCCTAACGCACTTTAAACACGGAGCCACGGGGGGCAGCTCCCGGACCGGTGTGAGCCAGGCCTGAGCCAGGCTGCCTGCCCAGCTCCTAACGCACTTTAAACACGGAGCCACGGGGGGCAGCTCCCGGACCGGTGTGAGCCAGGCCTGAGCCAGGCTGCCTGCCCAGCTCCTAACGCACTTTAAACACGGAGCCACGGGGGGCAGCTCCCGGACCGGTGTGAGCCAGGCCTGAGCCAGGCTGCCTGCCCAGCTCCTAACGCACTTTAAACACGGAGCCACGGGGGGCAGCTCCCGGACCGGTGTGAGCCAGGCCTGAGCCAGGCTGCCTGCCCAGCTCCTAACGCACTTTAAACACGGAGCCACGGGGGGCAGCTCCCGGACCGGTGTGAGCCAGGCCTGAGCCAGGCTGCCTGCCCAGCTCCTAACGCACTTTAAACACGGAGCCACGGGGGGCAGCTCCCGGACCGGTGTGAGCCAGGCCTGAGCCAGGCTGCCTGCCCAGCTCCTAACGCACTTTAAACACAGAGCCACGGGGGGCAGGTCCTGGACCGGTGTGAGCCAGGCTGCTGGCCCACCTGCTAAAATATTCCCTGGCAGGCAGAGGGGAGGGGAATGGGCGTAGCCTGCGGCATTAAGCCATATGAAGCAGTGGAAAGGGTAGTTGAGAGAGAGCGCAGCCTCGGGGCGTCGTGCAGGGAACTTCTGCAGAAGAGTGGCCCCAGTGGGCTTGTGGCTGGGCGGGGAGCACACGGGGCACCCCTGGGCACGCAGAGCCCGGCGGGCAGGCTGTGCCCCTCCTGTGTGCGCAGGGCAGTGGAGGGCAGGACGGGAGGGAGCACACGGGGCACCCCTGGGCACGCAGAGCCCGGCGGGCAGGCTGTGCCCCTCCTGTGTGCGCAGGGCAGTGGAGGGCAGGACGGGAGGGAGCACACGGGGCACCCCTGGGCGCGCAGAGCCCGGCGGGCAGGCTGTGCCCCTCCCGTGTGCGCAGGGCAGTGGAGGGCAGGACGGGAGGGAGCACACGGGGCACCCCTGGGCGCGCAGAGCCCGGCGGGCAGGCTGTGCCCCTCCCGTGTGCACAGGGCGGTGGAGGGCAGGACGGGAGGGAGCACACGGGGCACCCCTGGGCACGCAGAGCCCGGCGGGCAGGCTGTGCCTCTCCCGTGTGCACAGGGCAGTGGAGGGCAGGACGGGAGGGAGCACACGGGGCACCCCTGGGCACGCAGAGCCCGGCGGGCAGGCTGTGCCTCTCCCGTGTGCACAGGGCAGTGGAGGGCAGGACGGGAGGGAGCACACGGGGCACCCCTGGGCACGCAGAGCCCGGCGGGCAGGCTGTGCCCCTCCTGTGTGCGCAGGGCAGTGGAGGGCAGGACGGGAGGGAGCACACGGGGCACCCTTGGGCGCGCAGAGCCCGGCGGGCAGGCTGTGCCCCTCCCGTGTGCACAGGGCGGTGGAGGGCAGGACGGGAGGGAGCACACGGGGCACCCTTGGGCGCGCAGAGCCCGGCGGGCAGGCTGTGCCCCTCCCGTGTGCACAGGGCGGTGGAGGGCAGGACGGGAGGGAGCACACGGGGCACCCTTGGGCGCGCAGAGCCCGGCGGGCAGGCTGTGCCCCTCCCGTGTGCACAGGGCGGTGGAGGGCAGGACGGGAGGGAGCACACGGGGCACCCTTGGGCGCGCAGAGCCCGGCGGGCAGGCTGTGCCCCTCCCGTGTGCACAGGGCGGTGGAGGGCAGGACGGGAGGGAGCACACGGGGCACCCTTGGGCGCGCAGAGCCCGGCGGGCAGGCTGTGCCCCTCCCGTGTGCACAGGGCGGTGGAGGGCAGGACGGGAGGGAGCACACGGGGCACCCTTGGGCGCGCAGAGCCCGGCGGGCAGGCTGTGCCCCTCCCGTGTGCACAGGGCGGTGGAGGGCAGGACGGGAGGGAGCACACGGGGCACCCTTGGGCGCGCAGAGCCCGGCGGGCAGGCTGTGCCCCTCCCGTGTGCACAGGGCGGTGGAGGGCAGGACGGGAGGGAGCACACGGGGCACCCTTGGGCGCGCAGAGCCCGGCGGGCAGGCTGTGCCCCTCCCGTGTGCACAGGGCGGTGGAGGGCAGGACGGGAGGGAGCACACGGGGCACCCTTGGGCGCGCAGAGCCCGGCGGGCAGGCTGTGCCCCTCCCGTGTGCACAGGGCGGTGGAGGGCAGGACGGGAGGGAGCACACGGGGCACCCTTGGGCGCGCAGAGCCCGGCGGGCAGGCTGTGCCCCTCCCGTGTGCACAGGGCGGTGGAGGGCAGGACGGGAGGGAGCACACGGGGCACCCTTGGGCGCGCAGAGCCCGGCGGGCAGGCTGTGCCCCTCCCGTGTGCACAGGGCGGTGGAGGGCAGGACGGGAGGGAGCACACGGGGCACCCTTGGGCGCGCAGAGCCCGGCGGGCAGGCTGTGCCCCTCCCGTGTGCACAGGGCGGTGGAGGGCAGGACGGGAGGGAGCACACGGGGCACCCTTGGGCGCGCAGAGCCCGGCGGGCAGGCTGTGCCCCTCCCGTGTGCACAGGGCGGTGGAGGGCAGGACGGGAGGGAGCACACGGGGCACCCTTGGGCGCGCAGAGCCCGGCGGGCAGGCTGTGCCCCTCCCGTGTGCACAGGGCGGTGGAGGGCAGGACGGGAGGGAGCACACGGGGCACCCTTGGGCGCGCAGAGCCCGGCGGGCAGGCTGTGCCCCTCCCGTGTGCACAGGGCGGTGGAGGGCAGGACGGGAGGGAGCACACGGGGCACCCTTGGGCGCGCAGAGCCCGGCGGGCAGGCTGTGCCCCTCCCGTGTGCACAGGGCGGTGGAGGGCAGGACGGGAGGGAGCACACGGGGCACCCTTGGGCGCGCAGAGCCCGGCGGGCAGGCTGTGCCCCTCCCGTGTGCACAGGGCGGTGGAGGGCAGGACGGGAGGGAGCACACGGGGCACCCTTGGGCGCGCAGAGCCCGGCGGGCAGGCTGTGCCCCTCCCGTGTGCACAGGGCGGTGGAGGGCAGGACGGGAGGGAGCACACGGGGCACCCTTGGGCGCGCAGAGCCCGGCGGGCAGGCTGTGCCCCTCCCGTGTGCACAGGGCGGTGGAGGGCAGGACGGGAGGGAGCACACGGGGCACCCTTGGGCGCGCAGAGCCCGGCGGGCAGGCTGTGCCCCTCCCGTGTGCACAGGGCGGTGGAGGGCAGGACGGGAGGGAGCACCGCTCGGGCAGGGCTGTCCTGGGGAGATCTCGCTGCTCCTGCCCCGTTCCTTGACCCCGTTCAGGAAGCAGCCAATCCCATTGGCCTCTTTGGGACACGAGCCAATGCGAAGCTGGTGTGTGCCAGCCTTGCAGAGGGGCCTTCCCGGTGCCGTCGGGGGCGCAGCAAGTCTGGGGTTGGCCACACCGGTGCTGACCGCAGTCTGTGAGGCAGCAGGCTTGGACTGTGCCCGGAATGGGGGTGGGTCTTACCTGAGGTAAAACGAGGTTCAGGAAAGCCAGCCCCCAGCTGAGACCCGACCCAGGCACGACACGACGTTCGGTTCCAGGCGGTGCCGCGTTCGGCCGGCTCTGCCTCTCCCCTGGGCTCGGTGTGTCTGATGCTGGTGTGTGGCAGTCCCTGTAAACGTGAGAGAAGAGGAGCCAGAGTCTCGGATGAGGCGCGTTCCTGGTGAAGGGCCCTTCGTGGGAGGGAGATTTCGGCTGCTTGTGCCACGTGCTGAAGTCCCCTCAGTGAAGCAGGGAGGGGCAATTCAGGGTGACTCAGGGACTGTCCCACAGGCGACTCTGGCTGTAACGGTCAGGCCGCCACCGTGCTGGGAAATGAGCAGCGGGCGAGTTGCTCGTATCTGAGAGAACGGGGCCAGGCCCGTCTCCAGGAAAAGCCATGATGTGGCTGAGGCCTTGGGGCGTGGCAGACTCCCGCTAGGTCCACGAGGGCCCCGGGGCAGATTGCTGCTACTGTCTCAGCAGGGTGGGAAAGGAGCCAGGTGCTGGAGAATACCCAGGTGGGAGCCCTTGGAATGGCCTGGCTGGCAATGGGACCTCCCTTCTGGTGGGCTGCTGGGAGTCCTGCGAGGGCTTCCTGAGCTCTTGGCCTGGAGCAAACCTCGTGTTGGCACTCCTCGCCATGGCCTGTCCCTCCTGCTCGGTCTCCCCCAGTCACCGACTGGGGCCAGGGCCGAGGGCCCCTGGCTGTGACGCAGGCGAACCGACGTGGGTCCGGTTGTCCCCGCTCTGCGGGGCGCCTGTCGTGTTGCACGGCAGGATTTCAACGCGTCACGCAGGCCCAGCCGTCCGGTCCCCTCTCGGCGAGCAGCCATTCGGGGCGGGGCCCTGCCGGGGCCATGTCGCGCATGGCAGAGGCGCCGGGAGCCACTCACCCTGGCTGGGCCC